GGGGGGGCTAGTGGTATTCAGCTTTGCTGATTTTCATTACAATGTATTGCTGGGGCTTGTAATAATGCATAGCTGGTGGTATTCTGCATTGCTGTATAATGAGTATACAGCATTGGCAGAATAGCACAGATGCAGGACTATGCAGGACTACAAGTCCCAGCAATACATTATATTATTAACCAGGGATGCACCAGTGCCAATACTGGGCATTTTCACGAGTAAATTGTTAAAATGAAGCAGCAGCCTGAGATCCCGCGGTTGCTGTGGACCTCGGCAGCCTTCCTGTGAACCACCTGGTGCCTGTTTATAGTGCCTTCCCATGGCGTTGGAGGGGGCGTTTTTTTGGCGACTTTTCATGGTTTCTTGCACCGGGGCCCTGAAGTTTCTAGTTACGCCTCTGACTGTCACATAAGAGAGGAAGTCAGTTTAAAGCTAAACAGGTCTTTCCCTTGTCCCAGCAGCTAAACAGAGCAGTGCGGGAGTGAGGAAAGGTCAGTATATGCTGATGGGAAGCAAGGAAGTAAAGTTTCCCTATAACCACAAGGTCACTTCTCTGCAGAAAGCAGCATGTAAAGAAGAGTGTGTATATATAATTACCTTTCCAGTGGCCCATGTGTTCATAAGCCTACGCTTTGTAGTAGCCCCTGTGACCCTGTAGGGACAGGGTCATTTTAAGTGACCCTTTACTTTGCCCTGCATCGGCAAAAGAAAAGGTCACTCTACACATTTTATTATGAAGATCTCATCCATATTGTTAAAACGTTGTTACATCAGACTAAAAATGATCACATTTATGGCCAGCCTAGGTTTAAACCAAAGCTAAGCCTAGGTATTTACCAAAGTAAAAGAATGGAAATGTACAGCTTCTCCAGACAAAATTGACAGGATGCAGTAAAAAATCAACCTAATTGTTTTTCGTAGCCTGTTTATCTCAATGACCAAAGTGCATTTCCTTTTACTATTATTTTGTAGACTGTATTGTGTCGAAATATCTTTATAAGAATGTTATTTACCATCCACTGTGTATCTCATTCAATTAACCAAGATTTATGTGTTTCCTCATAGACTTGGATCGTCACATGTATTTATCTTCAGCTGCTTTTTATCTGCTTTGGAAGTCCGTGCAGAAATCCTGTCACTAATGCTGTGAATGACATTGACAAACTGGTAAGCCTGATTCTTTTTATTATCTCTCTTTTACTTTTAAAACCATGCTATAACAGTCATCAAAAAAATCTAATATATTCAACATGCTTTCTGTTGTGCCATGTGCAGTAAAGAGGGAAACCTCGATAAAAAGTATAAATCTGTCTGCCGATATGCAGTTTGCTTATCAGTTCCCACAAGAGATGATGGAACTAACTTGTTCTCGTTGCAGTTGATCCACACCCAAGTGCTCTATTACTTTTTCTTCCAGTTGAGACTTTTTTTGTTTGAACACATGCATAGTAAAAAAAAAAAAACTTTCTGTGGGAAAAGGGTACGATTCATGCTCCTAGGTCCATAGACTGGACGAAGAGAAAGTGCATGGGCCACGAACGATGATATGGGTTAATGGGAGTTAAAAAAAAAGTCTGCTGTAATTGTCTATTCTGATTGAGTGATGGTATATGGAGCTATAGTTTTAGAGTTGTCCTTATCAGACAACAACTTTTTTGTACCTTAAGTGTTCTCCTATTTTTTCAAGTGCTTCCAAAAAGTAATGCAAAGAGCAATGTTGGGTAACAGTGCAGAAGCCCAGAGCCGGCAATCAGATTTTAAGCTGAACTCCAGACAAAAAGCTTTTAGTATATGAGAGTTGTTTTACTTGCCAAAGGATTTGTATTTCTGGGTAGGCAATCCTGAGATTTACAAAGCCCCTTCATAAAGCAGACAAACTGGTGACCAGACTTTTCCGAACTGCAGTTAAACAACACAGCCTTGTCACAGCTTCCCTTCCCCAACCTGTGATTGGACAATGGAGGAGCAGCAGCAATTCACATACAACAATAAAAACTTGACAGAAGTTTTAATCCTTCCTCAGGACAGAGGTCTTAAACTCAATTCTCTCGGGAGCCACTGCACAAAATTTCTTCTCCCATGGGTCCGCTTGCCAAATTTCATACTTCAAAATTGTGTTTACTTAAAAAATGGCGTTTTCCTTCAGCAGGAATCCCTAATCTGGTGTTTACAAGCACCAGCTGTCACCCCTTCAAGTTAATTATCAGGTGACAGATGCTGCATGTAAACGCCTGCACACCGCATGTAATGGTATGTGATATGATTACATGCAGTTAGAAAACAGTCACTTTCACTGGACGCATTGATCGCGCAACCAGGGAGAGTGATTGATTCCTAACCACATGTAATCATATCACATACCATTACATGCAGTGTTCCGGCATTTACATGCAGTGGCTGTCACCTGATCATCAACTTGAACTGGTGACAGCTGCTGCATGTAAACACCAGATTAGGGATGACTTCTGCTGGAAAAAGGCAAATTCTGGAGACAGAAATCCCTTATCACATCTGAACTTACAGGTATGAATGGGGCCTAATGCACACATACATACACACACACACACACACACACACAAACAAATACAACCCCCTCCCCACATACATACACACACACACACACACACACACTAAAGTAGAATAATACACCCCCCTTGTTTCCCCCCTTGTCTGTTCCCCCCTTCCTTTTCCCCCCTTGTTTCCCCCCCACACACATAAAATAGAAGAGAGAGCCCCGTCAGCTGAACATTCCCTGGTGATCCAGTGGTTGATTAATAAGGTCTGGTGCAAACCTTACTAATTGTTCCTTTTGGCCAGAGCTCAGAACTGTCAAAGCTCCAGGCCAAAGAGAATAACTGGGTGCTTGAGCTGACAGGAGCAGCTATGCAATCTGTATCTGACAGAGACGCAGACCATGTAGCTGTTCCCACAACTCAGGTACTGTGTACCTGACCTGACAGCCTGCTGCGGGCCGGTACCCCTGCTTATGCGATCTAAAACATTCTTGGTGTGGTTTCAAGTCGAATGTAATATCAGGAAAATACCACATTATGACCACTGGATGGAGCAGAGGAGCATGGAAAATAAGTATTTTTTTAATGCTCCTCAGCTCCACGTAGTGACCATAATGGTGTATTTTCTCAATGTTATATTCACCCTGAAAATAGAATATACTAAGGACGTTCAATTATGCCACTTACACAGAAATTTGCAGGGCAAATGGTGCTATGAAGTGTTTATAAATAGACTCCTAAGTGTGTGGGTTTACATACACTTAAAAGCTGAACTCCAGCCAGATATAAAAACCACAATGAATGCAGCACTGTATTTATTTAAAAATAAAATGTATGTATAGACAAAGCTTTTCTTTTTACTGTACATAATGTGTAAATATACACATTATGCAAACCTGGCCCACTTTTATCACCATCAATAAACCCACTGTGAAAAATGCCATGTAGCCATTGTTGGAGTATATGTAGATAGGAATTGGCATTGAAAAATGACAGTTGTTTTTTGCATCCAATTCTTTATCAAACCAAGTGTCAGTTAGCATTGAAGTGTGGGCACTGAATGATGAATTTTAATGGTTTGCTAAGGAAAACTGCACTTTGAACATTACTCTTGCCTTAATAAAAAGGTCTGGTAGTGTCATCTTGAGACTTTGATCATAGCTGTACAGTATAATATCCATGAAAATTATTAACCCCCTACTTCAAATTGCAACCAGAGGGTATTGAATACCTATTAGTCTACATCACGGTGGAAAATGTGTACTTTTTCTGTAATCTCCAGTAAGGGCTAAACATTTCCTGTTATACAGGTTTATAGTGTGTATTTAATCCCTTGAGAATCGCGGAGTCAATACCACAAGCACTTTTGTTGCCTATGTAAAACCCGGTTAAGTGGAGTTTCAGAAGCTGGATAAAAGGACACCATGTTATATCCCCAGGGCCCAGCAGCTTACTTCAATTTAGGTAGTCAGGAACATCAAAGGCTATTCAGGTATATCTTCAGCCATCTACAGACACAATTCACAAAACAGACACCGCATTGTGTAGAGACAGATATGTTTTATCTTTGAAAAAGATTCAATATGAAACACCTGTCCAAAAAACATCCTGCTTTACAATTTGTTTTTTAGGCCTGAGGTCATGTGTTCAAATTTGTAAGTTGCACATTCACCTTAGAGTAGCCAAATAACTATCACAGATAATTAGTGCCTTCAGTAGTCGGAGGCAGACACTGCAAAAAAGAAAAAAAAGCTTCAAACTTGTCAAGAAAACTGACCCTGTCGGCAGGCCAGATCCATTCATCCAGTATCCATATTTAAATAACACAGATATGCAGCTGCCATCATTGGGAGAGTATTAAGACAGGTGCCATCACCAAAATGCCCATTTAGGGATAGCCAGATATATCCCTTCCCATAATTCTCAGATATATACATCTCTGACCAATCTTAATGTCAAGCCTGGCTTGCATGGAACTGCATATAAATTGAGCAAATTGAATCCCCATTCACTTGTGTGAAAGTGTAGGTAAATGTGTAGGCAAAAAAACTATCTTTTGTAACAATTGGTGGATGAACATGTATTATCCTCACATCACCAAATCATGCATGCATGATGCACCAACGCCCAACAACACCAGCAAACAACAATGAGTTGAGAAATCTAACAGGCCAATTCACTATGCTTACTTAAAGGGTCATTCTACCCAAAAGGGATGTTTCAAGTCTAGTCTGGTGGGCTCGGTTACTGACTACCATTGAACTATCCAAAATGCAAAATTAAAAAAAGACCTATTTTGCCACCTAAAACCTTGAGAGAAACTGTTAAGTGTGCAGCATCTATGAAAAATTTAACTATCAAATTTGAGTGTAGTTCAGACCACCTGTTTGATATAGTGTATTTTACACGTTGAGCTCTTGTTAAATAGTACTTTGTTTCCATCATAATTAGCTGTATATGAATGCCTTTAGTAAGCATGATTATGTTGTCTTATTTTGGAGACAGAGGATATTACCCATATGTCCAGTTTTGATGCAATATGATATTCTTTCAGAGTTTATAGAGTGAAATACATACACCAAATAAACCTTGGCAAATTATATGACTGGTAGAGTTTTCCTTGACTATAAACAATTACTGTTTAAATGTGTGATATTTGCTTTTGTTTCCCTTCCAACTTATAGAGACATGTCAGTTTTCCCAACTGTAAATTATTTTTACAAAGAACGATATGATATTAGGTTCTCAGTATCTAGCGTGAAATCAATTTACAAGGCCATATACGTAAAAAGTAAATTGTAATTCTCCACTGTTGAGATACACATCACTCTGAGATCCTGAAGAACAGCTTGTAGAGCAAGAGCTATCTCTTTCTAGATGAAAGGTTATATGGTAAGAGGAGAAACCCAATAAACCCCAAAACACTAGTTGATGATACTGAGATCAGTTGATTAAAACATCAACATTTTTTATACCAGCTGTATCTTACTTAATTCGTTAATCAGACAATGGTTATTTAGATCATTATTCTTCATTTAAGGAACGCCCTTTCATATTTCACAACTTGACCAGATGGTCTTAACATTATAATAAATATATCTACATTTGACAAAGCACTGAGCAAAATGTTGGCACTACAAATCTTGTATAATAATAATATTCACATGCACAATCTAAAATATTTGACCACAAACAAAAACTATAATAAAAACTCAAATACTTAAAACATATATTTAAAATAAATAAGAAATACACTCTATATTGCCACCAAAAATATATTAACAATAAAATGGGTATAAACTAGTAGTTTGCTATAAAAAAAAATTCTGATCTTTTTCCATATTGAGAGCGTTTGGATATGAATATCGAAAATGTAGATTCACTTGCTCTGGAGAATATCTGTCTTAAGACAAGACCTTATCAATACCGTAGCATTTCAAAAATTTTGGATTTTTATTATGAAAGTCCCTTAAGGGTCTTGACACATTATGGAGTTTAAAGCCTATCTCCAGGTAATCTGCAAGGGTGAGTGGCTCGTTTATGTCTTGTAGCCCAAATACATATGATGTGAACAGGCCCTAAAATAACTCTGTTGAGGGTTAAAGTTCGGCAAGGAATTGTCTTAACAATATCAGTAGAGACTAATTATGGCAA